CCGGGGCAGCGATCGAGCGTCCGTCGTAGTCGAATGATGACGGTGACAAGACGAGGGGATGTGTCCGGCAAACGTTGTTTGGCTGTTTTTCAGTCATATTATCGCCAGTGAAATCAGCCATTTCAATATATATGGCCTCCTCGCACGAATAAACGTTCCCCTCGTACATATGATAAATGATTCATAAAACTGATTCAGGTACCCTGTTGCATCCCATGACGGCTAAGAGCTCGAAACCGGTATAGCCTATGTTGGCGTGGTATGTTTGGAAATATTTGTACAGGTTCGGCGAATAAGTTCCTTTTATTAAGGAAGCCAGTAATTTTCAAAGGTAAATAGTGCCAAAGTGCCATATAACAGTATCCTGCCCCTGGTCGAAAATTTTCGGATAGGCCATGCGTTTAGTTTCCAGCAGAAATCTTTGGACGATTTTATTGAGGATAAAGCCCCTTAGTTGCTGCTATCGGATCAAATTTCTGATAAAATGCGGTCTCTCAGACAAACAAAGCCTTTTAACCTAAGAGAGCGGGAAGTAAGCGCTGAATAACTGACCTCAAAAAGGGCTTCTGTAGGTAAGCAATCATTCTCTAAAGCAAACAGTAGCAACCCCTCACCCCAGAAGGAAGAGGAATTGAATTTCTCAATAGAGTCTGTGCCCGAAACCGTAAGCATAGGGCAACCGAAACGGGGCAAATTCATGGAAAGGGGTACCAGGATGCCTAAGGAAGAATCCATGATTCTAACTCACTGGTGGGGAACTACTCCGAAAAGTATGCCAAACAAAATCTCAGCTGAGACCCTGGCAGTTCCCTTCTTCACAAAAAAAAACTCTGTCCTTTACTAGTTGTTCATGTTAGATTGATTACTTATGTAGCTATAATCATACCGAATCCAATAAGAGAATAGCTCAAACCATTCCTAAATCTATAGGGCAAATAAAAAGGCGCCATGGATGGATTGGACAAAGAGAGGCTCCCCATGAACACACCGTCTGACACATATGGGATGACTAATAGAACCATGGTAAACAACTTCAGTCGCATGGGGTCAATCGGAAAAGTTACTTGAAGGGCTGGACGAGTAGACCAACACACTTCACCGGATCGGATCGTGATTTCGCACAAATAGGTAAACTCTTCCAATCCACATGATTTCAACTGACTTCACATAAATAAACAAAGGTGAACAATGTACCAGCCAGTGATTGAAAATTGCCAAATAGAGAGAGAAATTTGAACCAAACTTCAACTCACGGAATGCAATCAAGCATAAATGTAGAGAAAAGGGTCTGAAAACCCTGTTCTAATCGAAAAACTTGGGGAGATTGGGGAAAACGAGTCACGAAGGTAACACAGAGACAGAGTAGAGAGTAGCCATTCCTCTATTCATTTATCACTGCAGTAGGTAAGGCTTGCCGAACGGGTTCTATGGAACAAGGGGTAATCCATTTCACTCGTTCAGACCTTTGCAAAAAAGTTTTACAATCGAATCGGCATTCTTACAAAAGGATTGCTTTGGAAACTTACTAAAAGTGTTGAGGGATCATTAAAGGGATCGTTAATGGGGCACCAGACATTCTTTTTAAAAATCGAATATTTTAGTAAAATGTTCAAAAATAAAAATAAAGCCTTCAAATTGCTTTAAAGGCCATACATTCTTGAATATTTTTTAAAAAGCTCTTGTTTTATAAAAGAATGTTTTCAATTATTTTGTTATCCGGGGAGGGCGAACTTGATCAAACATATTCTCCTTNCCCCCCCCCCCCCCCCCCCTCCCCTCCTATTGATATCAGTGAAATAAAAAATAAAATTAATAAAAGACTACAATAAGATCGGTTGTTGAAGAATTTATGGTACGTATCAACCAACACCGATGGATGGGAGGCTTGGTTGGTCTAAGCGGATACCGGGATTCGAACCCCTGAGCATGCGTGTGAGATGTGTGCCATTTGCCCAGCACCACTTCTGCCCAGTCCATATAGCACCTTCAGAAAAATCTCCATCTCAAAGCTGAGAGTCAAGTTTTTCCATAACAGCTACATTTTGAATTTTTAATCGATACAAAAATTCATAACTGATGGCAATGTTGACAGTGGCGATAAAGCAGTTATGTCTCGGTGTATGACGAGCAAACTTTGACTCATAGCTTCGATACATTGATGGCAGACGAATAACAAGATGAGGAGCAACTGATGGAGGGAGAAGGATTGGGAGGATACAACAATTTGAGAAAGGTTAGTTGAAGTTTCTAAGGTTTTTACGGACAAGCAGCAAGATGGCCAGCTGAAGGGCGAGTTTTCATGAGAAATGAGTTCAACAAGGCAAGATTTACCTCCCCCAAAATCATGAAGTCTCCCAGCACCCAGATATCTACAAATGTTTAGAAACCGAGAAGTCCATGGCCGAGGTAGCTCTGTGACCAGTGGCCACAGTACTGGGTACTGCCCGAACCCGCCCACTCTAATTCACCCTTTTACGGCTCATTTGTTGGTTGATGGCTATCAGACATGTTTAGGAGGATAAAAACCCTCTACTTGAATATGGACCGGTTCCTTGTGGCCACTGGATAGAATGGGTACACATTTCAACGCCTTCATGACTCTGAATGGAAGTCGAGTGCCCGAAAATTTGAGCAGTTGTTTTTACATCCTCCTGCTGGACCCCATGAGATCCATTTCCAGCTCAAGCCCCAATCACCTGAATGTTACGGTGTGTTTCCATGAACTCTTGAAAAACTTCCGGGAAAGGGTATTCGATGAAGAAGCGGTTTTCGCAAGGTCAATCGTCTGTTCTGACAGGCATGGAACAGAGCTATTTGGACTCCTTCGTGTACCTTTGGGTGACCAGTTTTCCCATATATGCCTTGAAAATAAGTAGCATTTTGAATCTACCGCATTTGTAGTCATAGAATTTAGCCCTAGCATTCGCCTTCACGATTTCTTGGAAGATGTCGGATTTACAAAAGTTTTAGTCCGTTATAAACTATAGGCAGGGTCTTGTCAAAGAGGATGTAAGGCAAACGCTCGTCGGAGCCTTTGGGATACGCCAAGATTCGGTTTTCATAAGTAATTGAACAACTTCATGTTTCGTGAACCTAATAACTTGGGGAACCAGTTGGGAGATAAATTACTGATATGACCTCATAAGTAAATGCAACATTGATTATGCGACCCTGGTTGGCTACAATATTCAGCTGATTCAACAGAGATCCAGCACAGAGAGTCACCTATACGCCATGGACAAGCCGACGTCGTCACCAGGTCCTGATCTATGTATTGACATAACTGTCAGAAATCGAGGAGGATAACTGAGGAACACATAGGACAGTTGACAGAGTTTCATGACATACATTCCATCTACATTAATCCTTTCCCTATCGCCGGACCCATTTAAGAGGTTCGTGAAAAGAAGAGTGATCACTCTTAGGAACGAATCCCCGACAGCTGCTTCAATAGACGTGTATCCGTAGGTACAGCGCGCTGTCCTTGAATAGAGGATAGACTCCGCTTGGCTACATTCTACATGGCTGCTATACATTCAGCAAAGTCAGCGAATCCTATGTCTTAGTTATTTCCATTTCTTAGTAACTTGTATCCATAAACCATCGAATACTCCAAAGTGTCAAAGTATTTCGGAAGTTCTGACGAACCTTAGCCCTCTGCGATCGGATACAGTAAGTCCAATTCAAAGTCGGATTCTTCTCATGCCTTCTTTTGCCGAAAACCCGTATGAAAACCATATTCAACCATGAGAAAGAGAATGGAAACTCCACGAGACATTGTGGGGATATTGAAAAGGCCCAATATTTCCTGATTTTAAACAAACTGTCTTGAAGGAACGCTAACATACATCAAATTGACAGCATATTTGCATGCACTCACTCGCCCGAATTTACAAAAACTCAAGAAAAACGACGACGAGATGGGACGTACCCGCTTTTTCCATCTCTCCAGTTCACTGCTGCTGCCTTTACCGGTTTGATCGATTCGTTTCTCGGACGAGCATCGATCTCGTCGCATAGCCGGAATCGATAATCGATTGTTCTTTGTCGGAGATTGCTTAATTTCGAAGTTCATTCGAACAAAACCAAATAAAACAACAAATAATCAATAGCAATTTCAATCAGGTTCAAAGCCCTCATGCTCCTTAGAATCGGGAAAAGAGAGGACGGAGTAAGGGAGAGGATGATATAGAGGACAGTACGGATAAATCCCAAATTCAGGCCAAAGGCAAAATGAAGCGCTACCGCCAGGAGGATTATTCTCATCGAGGCTCGTCACAGAGTGAGTGGTAAATTGAAGAAGTTGCGAGCTATGTTTATTTATTTATTTACCTTCAAATATATAAACTATGCGTCTAATTCGACGAGCCTAAACATATAAGCTTGAGGAAATGAGAGGCTCGAGGTATAGACTAAAACAGTGTACTAAGAGAGGAACAGCAGCTTCAAAAACAATTATGTAAATAGAAAATATTAAGAAAAACTTTAGAGTGCCATGATACCTACATGAGGTGTCGGGAAAACGAGGCTGGAATGTTCTAGAAAAAGAACTCAAAACTCTGAAAACATAAGCTTAATTGAAAGCCTCCCATCCCACATTTTTGCAAGAGAAACCACCATCGAACTTTTCAGTGGGGATTTTTTTCTTTCGCATCACTTGAGAGGAGGAAAAGGACACTGATGGGTGCGGCGCTCTAAATCTATCGAAAATCTGCGTAGAAAAACGCCGAACAGTACGCGACCTGAGTTCTCTGAGGAATTCTTACCACATTCTTGACTACGGTAGAGATGAAGAAGAAATGAGGGGAATGGCATAAAGGCATGAACTCGAAGGTTCTTGCCCCCGTTCACGACCATTTCACTCAAGGAATTATTGGATGTACATATTGGACGAAAGTGGGGAAATGGCAAGTGACACCTACCACCACTGTATGCGCTGACGGAGCCCAAATGACAGAAAATTCGCCATCGCCAAATGCAAAAAGCAAGCGGGAATACCACTTTGGACAATGTATTCAGGACCAGTTGAGAACATTTTGGAAGGAAAAGATGAAAGAACGATTTTCGTATTCACCATGTTTGCAGTACAAATCGGGTAGGTGACTGGACTGTACTGTACTACTGACTCTGAGAAGGCGATGGGATGTGATAGGTTGATGTTAATTCGACTTCAGGATGATAATTAAGGTCATTTTTTGTAATTTGCAGTTCCAGGAGCTCAGATCTCGACCATGGGCGAGGAGCTCCCAGATGAGCGGTTTTGATCACACCTCCCTCCTAAAACCTTCAATTTCTGATTTCTGCTGAAAAAATTTCGAAGGTTTGAATGAGTCAGGTCATCGCATCTCCCACTCACGCCACTTATGTACTTGGACGATAAATCACAAAATTTGATAAATGACTCCTAATATTACTCATCACCTGATCACGTCTTTGGGTGACAGTGAGCCACTGCTATACGGGGTCTATTGATCGTAACCAAGAACTGGTCCTGCCCTTAAAGTCAATCAACTTTTACGTCATCTTGATGCGGATCATTTTTGGAAGACTCAAAAAAGCCCCATGATTCAAGCAAATGATTTTTACTCTGGCAAGCTCTCTCAAACCACCACACATGTAGGGTTAATTCGTCGGTCAACCAAACCTCGGCTCTACTGCCTTTACGTAGACTGCGCCTTTCGTTCTTCATAGCAAACTCATCTCCGATGGATTAAACCCGAAAAATGATGGGGCAGGATTCTGTACAAGTAGGTCCCGTCGATTCTCTGTATGCAGAGTCTGATGCCTCTTTAACTACCTGTATGATTCTTCACTCAAAGTCGGATGCATGGCGCAAGGATTGTTGGCAGTCGAACTCTTCCTTGGTTTTTTACTGGTGTACATATTACTCGTAACTTTTACTGAGGCCGGACGTGCTGGGTGCTAGTGACGCTGCTACCACTGCCATGGACGAAAGATAGGTTGGGAACCCATCCGGGACAACCAAAATTTCCCCCTCTCCCAAGCTGTGTATGGGGTACCAGGCTACATCAAGAGAATATAAACCCTCACCTGCACATGGACTGGTCAGCTAACTGACAATGCACTAAATAGACCGAATGAAGCAGAATGGGTGCCAGAAGAAGGCCAACCAAAATCATAAGCTGCTTGATTACGTTTATGCGCCCAAGTTGTAAACATACATTCAAAAATAAGAAAAACCATCCGATTTCTATCATGAAATATTGGAAAATTTGTATAAAAATTACAAAAATCACGCGAACCTCTTGTTCGTTCAGTTCTCCATAGACTGATCGACTGAGACGAGCAATTGACGAACTGAGCCTAGCATCAACATCCGCCAATGTATCCTTTGTCCCCATACGTCTTCGTACAGACGACAACGATCCTCCACTGACAATGTCGCGCTCTTGACGAACCGCTGATGTCTGCATCGTGTTATTCGACGTAATGACTGATCGTGGTGCTTTTATTTGCATGGACTTTGCCGCTGGTTGGTGGCCGACAGTAGGAGAAATTCGATCCACTGAAGACACCACGGTTGATGTCTCGGAGTTCCGTTCGACAAGTGTTGTTCGAGGGGCTGGAATCGGCCTTGACGTTTCTGGGACCTGAAAAAGAATTTGGAGAAGAAGGTCCGAAGAGATGTACTTTCATGTGTTCCTTTATTTCAAGACAACTTAACCGTTCAGCCTTTATTCCTTTTCCTCCCTTAACGACTCCCAAAGCTGTAAAAATGGTTGGTTTGTCTGCTACAACACCCATAACTCTTTTTTTTTCAAGCTAAGCCTCCCGGGTTGAGCCTTCTGAAGTGGAGAGCCTAGCTTACTTCTTCAAGCTGTGGCGGATCACGCTTCGCAACACTGGAGGGTGTTGTTGCTTCTGACGAGCTGGGCTTGTCCGATGAAGTAGGAGATTGCACCTAAAGTCAAAGTGAAAGCTTGTAGCTTAGGAACGTTATTTGTTTACTTGAATTAAGTGAATTTCGAATTATTCGAGGTGAAGGGGGATTAGATCGTAAAACACCGAGTGGTGCCATTCCTAACTAATTGTGACCTTCTGTCTTTTTTCCTTATGAAGCGGATGAGATGAGGTGTGACAGTAGAAGGAGCCCCTTTGAATACTACAGTTCCTCCTGTAGTTTTGCTACTGACTTATCTTTCACACCAACTAAAAGGGTTCAGTGGAGGGGA